AAATTAATTCTTTAAAGTTTTTTTCCATACATTTTGCATACATGTGCTCGTAATCCTGTGTGTCCACTCATAATACGTACGAGGAGATTTTTCTTCTTGCTCTCATCAGGGTCACCCCATAGGATCTTCGTGGTTCTACCCACTGTTTCATTATTCCAAGAGGCCTTATGGGATTCTCTCATCCATATTTTTAGTTCAGCTTTTGTTGCGTCGAATGGTTTCGCGTTTGTCAGGTTAACTACATCGAGCTCCCTACCTTTTAAAGCTATTACATTCGCCCTTTCGTTACCGACTACTCCCGAGTATCAGTTAAAGCTTTCTTACAATCCAATACGGTCTTATATTTAGTTCTATCGCCTGATATCGCCCTAATTGCCTTCTGGCTATCGGTAAATATATTAAGCGCTGTGGGCGCCATATTTATTCTAATCCAATTTACGCATTCCGTTATTGCTCGTACTTCTGCCTGGAAGCTTGTGTTATGATTTGGTAAACGGTGTTTCTGGGTCTTCAATATAGAACCCCAGCCCCACCTTGTTCCCCAATTTAGAGCCGTCCGTGTAACAACGGATTCCAACTGGTATTTGCTCTAATGTTCCGCTTGACCAGGACATTCTATCTGGGATCAAAGTTTCCGACATATCCTGCGTCTGGTATACGATCAGGCACGTCCGATGATTGTGTATAACCTTCCGATGTGTCCAGTATACATTGATGACGTGTCCTATAACCGTTTTTGGCCAGTTCACCTAAAGTAACGAGCCGTTCGGCTGTAAGCGCCGCCTCATATCTTAAATATGTTTCAATGTGTGGAATATCTAGCAACGTTTCCAGAGCCTTAGTTGAAGTAGTACACATGGCACCACTTATACCCAAGCAGCATGTACGCTGAACTCCCTGTAATAGTTTGATATTGCACTTTTTGTCTAAAGCAGTCCACCAGATTATTGAAGCATAAGCTAGAATTGGTCTAATTACACTTTTATAAAGCCAATTTGTCATAGTAGGACTAAGACCCATTTCATGCTTATAGTTCTCCTACATATCGCCCAGCACCGATGGGCCTTGTTGATCATATCCTCTATGTGGTGCCTCCATTTTAATTTCCGGTCGAGGATTACACCTAAGTACTTAACTTTGTCTGTCACAGGTATTTTTTTGCCTTGGAAGCAAGGTTCAGTATACGTAGAAATTTTTGTCTTTCTTGTGAAAAGACAGATTTCCGTTTTTGCCGGGTTAACATTCAGGCCCCTCGGTTGAGCCCAGCTCAAGGCCGTATTCAATCCTCCTCAGCTCTTCTACACAAATAATTTGGATCCTTTCCCTTTAAAAGTATTATGACATCGTCTGCATAGCAGACAGGTCTAAGTCCTTTCTCGGTTAGGGTCCTTAGGAGGCTATTAATCGTGGTAACCCAGAGTAAAGGTGACAAAATGTTCCTGATAGTTATATCGTACATCTCGCAGCTTATCCATCTGTTCCTTAGCATGTGGTTGATCCAGTTACGGAGCACCCGGTCAACATAAAACTGGTCTAGGGATTGGATAAGAGTCCCTTTACATAAGCATGCTGAATTTTGTTTATATTGTTCAGTGCACTACAAGCAATTTTATGAAAAGGAATAAAAAAAAAATGGAGATATCCTAGACTAAAAGACGTTTTTCATATGACTATCTTAATGTTAAAACTATAGTATGTCAAACTGAAAGACAAAAGCTTTAATTAGGGACTAAAAGAATTAAAATCTGATAAATAGTTTAGAAAATATACGATCTCAAATTTAATGCTTGTTGAAAAAATCTGTACCTTGATAATATCTAAACCGTAATGAAGAACTTTAAACTTTGTATTTATACACAGCAATTTTTTATCTGCCGTTATTTCAGAGGAAATCCTTTAACTACAAAAGGCATTATATTTGCAACAAATAATTTTGCTGTTAAAAAACTTCAAATACTTTCATGTTGTTGCGGTAAAAAAAATATTGTTGGAAATTTTCTTGCGACAAAATGTTTTCATTTTCTCCAACAAGTTTTTATTCATCCCAATAGCAAAATCATCAAATCCTAAAATTATTCGCCGTCACAATATATTTTTTTGTGCACTTATTAACTTTGGATTTTTTTTTACTTTATAAGACTATAGTAATAATACTACAAAATTATGGAGAATGATATTGACGGATAGTAACGTAATCAAAAAATGAAAATGGAACTGCGAAGTGGTGCTATTATTTTGACGGTAACTGTATATATTTTCATTATCCCTTTACATAAGATTGTTGAGTACACCCAACAATATATAACACATTCAGAATGGCACAGAGGGATCTCAAGTAAATAAAATTTAAGTAAATTAATCCACCTAATTTCCATAAAAATTTCAAAATTTCTAGTTTTATTTTTTGATGAACATCCCCACAAAAATTAGGTTATGGCTTTCGATTGTAATTACTTACCTAACAAGATACTTTTCAATGACTACTACATATCGTCTGGATTACATAGAAGTAGTCTAATAAGGTCTTACTAATAATGTGTTATACAAATACTTTCTAATTCGTTTGTCATCTTGCCACTGAAGACACAGAAGCTGTATATGTTTTTTCATGCGATTTGCAATGACTACTTTATCTAATTACTTCTAATCGTTTGTGGTAAGTACTTGCCTCCAATGACATCACCGTCTTTAAAACCGTTACTTAAAATGCTATTGTATTGCTATTACATGATAATGAAAGTTTTTAAAATAAACTTAAAAATTTGAAACAAAAATAAATTGTTTTTTAACAAATAATAAAAAATTTTGAAATTTGTATGGAAATGATGTGGATTACTTTACTAAAAGTTGATTTAGTTGAGATCCCCTCATTGTCCCATTCCGAATTTTGTTTATATTGTTCAGTGCACTACAAGCAATTTTATGAAAAGGAATAAAAAAAATGGAGATATCCTAGACTAAAAGACGTTTTTCATATGACTATCTTAATGTTAAAACTATAGTATGTCAAACTGAAAGACAAAAGCTTTAATTAGGGGCTAAAAGAATTAAAATCTGATAAATAGTTTAGAAAATATACGATCTCAAATTTAATGCTTGTTGAAAAAATCTGTACCTTGATAATATCTAAACCGTAATGAAGAACTTTAAACTTTGTATTTATACAAAAATGTGTGTACCTTAGGGTGGTTTTATCTCATATGGTAAAAAAATTTCTGATTTTTTTTTGGAGGCATCCCCCTAAAATGTTTCCTTCTTTCAGATTTTAGGAATGCCAAAGTTTTAGCACAATTGGAAGATGTTAACCCGTGACACTGGTGCCTCAAAGCTCTGAAAATTCTGATTTTTTGGCAGTTCGGCGACTTCGGCGACCCCATATCTGTGGAACTGCTAAAACTATTTGTCCGTGTCATAAATCAATTTAAAGGCCATACTGTTTATAATATTTTATATTCTACGCAATAAATCCGTAACTAGTAGTGTAACCGAAAAAAAAGAGCTAATATCCCTAAAAACGTGACTAGGTACCCCTGAGAGCACAGATGCCTTATTTGTATTATTATTGCTTATTATGTACAAATACTTGGAATCTCACTTCATATAAATGTGTTTGCTTTGGTATACCGTTAATTTTAAACACACAACAATGTTTTTTTATGCCTATTTTTTCACATACTGCTTCACTGGACTTAAGACTTAAGATATCCCAAAACGAGGCTGTCTGCGTGCACTGGGATGGAAAACTACTGCCTGATATCTGATATCTCATGGGACTAAAGAACATCTCTAGGGCGTTCCTGAAGCACATAGAGACCTCAGCCAGACATATTGAAGAGGTTTCAAAAAGAATTGTCGGCGATTAATAAATCCAAGTTTGATGTAGGCGAAAATGTTTTGGAACTACTGCCCAAAGAAGAAGTAGAGAATATCAAAGAAGAACTGCAAAGAAAACTAATGAAATGCCAGCCAAGAGACGACTACTCTTACAGTTGGAATTAATATATCATGCCATATTGACGGAAAAGATGTGCACTTTAGATCTCCAGGTCCAGTGCAGCATGCCCGGTGGATGGCAAAACCTATTTACTGTCTGAAAATACAACTCTTTTAAGCTGACTCCCAAGAACATGAGGCCCAAGAAAATGAGAAGTGCTCCAGAAATATGCAACCCAAACTAAAAAAAACAACTGCCGAAATTCTTAGAATAAGCTCTCCCAGCCCTAATTACAAGTTAGACTTACCTGTTGTTCAAGAGATTTAACATTACACCGAATTTCTGGATAAAGGTCCTGAAACTTGGACGAAGAACATCAACTATCAGGAGGGGCAAAGAATGGTAAACAACTTGAAAGTTGTGAACGACACAACCAAATACTTACAAAGGACGAGCTGCAAAAACCACATTATGTCAGTCACTTGAATAAATTTAATTAAAAAAAGGAAAAAGACATTTATTGTACTTGATTTTTTAAATACATAATTGTTTTCATATCAAAAATTTATAATATAGAAAGGAAAATGGGTTTTTCACAATAGGTTCCATCTTTGCTCTAAGTGGTATATAGTCACGGTTTTATATCGAATTAAGTCTTACTTACGTATTTTTATTGCACATAAAATATTAAAAATAGTATCGGTTTAAATTTGATGTATTACACATTCAAATATGTCAAACCGTTCTAGAGATATGGGTCGGCAAAGTCGCCAAACTGACAAAAAATCGAGATTTTCAAAACTTTGAGGCCCCAGTGGCACGTGCTAGCATCATTTAATCGTGCTCAAAAGTTGTCAATCTTAAAATCTAACAAAATGAAACATTTTAGGGGGTGCCCAATAAAGGAATCCGACATCGATTTTTTAAAACCACCCTAGTGCATTAAAATCGGAAATGGTAAGGTACAAACCTGTTCGAAGTTTTTTGAAATGCCCCTATATAGATTGTGAACATTATTTATTTTTTTATGATTGAAGTAATTTATTTATATTCTTATTTTTTTAAGATATATTTTTCACATTCAAACGTTCATTCCAAACTGAGAAATGGTTCAGCAAAAGGCGGTCGAGGTACTTCTCGAACAACAAATATCTCGTCTGCGGATAAAACTAATAGTGGGTCATCACTTTCATCTGGAAATAGTGGTTCCACACCAAGTACTTCACCAACAGCATTTTTACCACCGCGTGCTGAAAAACGAAAGTCAAAGGATGAATCTCCACCACCAACAAGCGGTGACAGTGATGCCGCAAGCGCTGGCATGGTAAATGCAAGTGGTATTCCTATTTCATCAAGCACAGTTAGTGGGTTAACCAATCAACCACAAAGTTTAATAAATCCTGTTACAGGACTGAATGTTCAAATAAGCTCAAAAAAGTGTAAAACATCGTCGCCATGTGCAATATCACCCGTTTTACTTGAATGCCCGGAACAAGATTGTAGTAAAAAATATAAGCATGTAAACGGTTTAAGATATCACCAATCACATGCTCATGGTAGTGCAAATATGGCTGATGAAGATTCAATGGCTGATACTGAAGAACACGCAACTCCTCAACCAAGTCCTTTATCGTCAACATCAACCCCTTCTATGACACCAAACCCCTCCGATATAATAGCAAATACTCAGCAGCCATTATCTTCTCAATTAGAAACAGCTGAACTTGCTGTTTCAGAGGAATCGAATATAAAGAAGTTAGATGAAGAAAACTTATCTCTTCAAGAGGAAAATTCCGAAAATAGAAATTCTGAAATAGAAACATCTTCACCTACTGATGGTATATCTACATCAAACGAAACTAATAGTACAATAACGACTCCAAATGCTTCATCAGGTGGCGGAGGCATTTCTGCTGACACACCTCACCATGAACAACAAAAACAATTTCTTGACATAGTTGGTAATAACAAGATAAATATGAATACTCTCATTTCGCTGGAACCAAATAACCATGCAGTTCAACAAAGTGTAACAGGTGAGTGGGAATATTTAAAGATCAATAGTTGAATATTTGAAGATCAATCAATATTTTAAGATAATAGCTCATATCGCGGAATATACATATATGAAGTGACCCTTAATAAATCGATTTGGATGAAATTTACAACAAGGTTAGTACTATTGGAGGCCAGACACATATTTTCAGCTTTATCGGTCAAGAACTGAAGGAGTTAGAGGGAGTCAAAGTTTTTTGGTCATACATGTTTTTTTTCAAATGAGTGTAACTTTATTTTTAGATATGCCCATTGCATCCTACTAAGTGACCACAAAGATTTAAAAGGAAATGTTCTAAGCTCTCTTATGAGCAAAAAAACGTCCACTAAAAAATATAAAATTGGGGAAAATGAAAATGGTATGACATGTGCCAAATATTGAAAAATCTTATTCTTGAGTTAAAAAATATTTTTTTTGATAAAATTCCCACTCGCATCCCATTAAGCGACTAGAAAGCTATAAGAAAATTATATAAGCTTTCGTTTGAGCAAAAAAGAGCCCATTTTGAAAAATTAAAAAAAAATCAGATTGAAAAATAGCTTTCTAAAGTACTTTGGGAACTTTATTGTTAGGAACAATAGCAAAGTTACACTCATTTGAAAAAAACCCTGTATAACCAAAATATCCAACGATCCCATCTAACTCCGGCAGTATCCGCAACGCCGGGTACAAAAATCTAGTAAACAAAAATAAAATAATTTTACAAAAAAAAATTCAAATATGAAAAAATTCTTTTTGAAAAACAACATGAAAATTGTGTGCAATGTGTCACGAAATTTAAAGGTTTGTATCGCAAATTGCATTCAGGTTCAAGTGGCCACATATTATTCGCAAACGAAAGGTCTTTGCCTATCGTCTATTTTTGACATTTTCTTTCGTTTATTACGAACGAATCCATTTTCTAAAAACCAAAAACATATGGAAAAATAAAGCTCTTTCGTTGCCACTCACATGAAAACTTATTTTTTCGTTACTAAAACGTAAAGCCAATTTCGTTCGTTATTTTTAAGAACAAATACACATTTATATTTTAGAAAAACAGGCTGACAGTAGGAATAACTAAAATTTACACTTTTAGAAATGAGCAATAATTGAACTATATACAAGAAAAAACTAGGTTTGAAACTTAGTTGAGATTCTGGGTGGATACATGGAACTTCGTAATAGTTGACAATTGTGTTGAATTTTTTTTTTTAGATTATAATTTTTTTAACAAAATATAAAAAGTTCTATTAGGAAGCCATTACAAGTACAAATAAATCATTTTTATTTGTTATGAGCATGCAACAGATCAAACGAAAAGGAGGCGAATAGAAAATTGTATATTCCACTTCAGTTGATATTTAAGGCGAAACAAAGATTAATATATTTATATGAAACAATTTAATATGATTAGATAGTTATATATTCTGTTCACAAGTACTGTTTTCCTCGAATTATTTATTTTAAAATGCTAAATAAATATTCCTGGTATTATTAATCTATATATATAAAATTCTAACGTTACTGACTGACTGACTGACTGACTGACTGATTCACTGACTGATTCATCATCGCACAGCCTAAACGGTTGAAGCTAAAGAGCTGAAATTTGGACAGGAGGTTGGTCTCCCGCCAAATAGATCCACTAAGACGGGATTTTTGGAAATTCGAATGTTTAGGGGGTAAAAAAGGGTAAAAACGGGTAAATTCGGTAACCTTATATCTCCTAAACTAGAAAAGATACAAAAACAGTTTAAAGCTTATCGCCGTTCATTTAAAAAATAAACGGACAGGTGTCTGGTACTTTTTTAAAATTCGGCCCCTTTAGGGAATAAACGGGTAAAAACTGTATTTTGGTACTTTTTTCGCACCCCATGTATCTTTTAAACCAGTGCACATTCAAAAAATATTTTTGACTTCTTCATAACTTAACGAAAAAATAAAAATATGAATTTAGTACTTTTTGGATATTCGGACGTTTAAGGGGTTAAAATTGTACCTATTTTTGGTACTTTTTTCATAAAACATTGTTTTTGGTTTATTAACTTATACATATGAATACATAATAACAGGCTCCCACTACGATGTTGCAACTTTTTGGAATAGAATTTTTATTTCGTTAATGGGGAGGAAAAAAGTACCAAAAGGGGTAAAAACGGGAAATTTGATTTTATTCAACCAAAATGATCCAATTTAGATAAAATTTTTAAATTTAGAAACACTAATTTGGAACCCCGGTATCAAGTGATATTTTTGGTACTTTTCATTCTCCAACTGGTCCTTTTTGAGTTTTCTATGATATTGAAATAGAAACATGAAATTAATAATAAAGGGACTTTTCGCTACTTTTTCGTTCTACACAGGTACTTTTTTGAGTTTTCTTTAAAATTAAAGCTAGAAACATGAAATTAAGCATGTAGAGCTCGGAGTAAATGAGAATCTATAAAATGGGACTTTTTGGTACTTTTCCGTCCTTCGACTGGTACTTTTTGAGTTTTCTATAAAATTTAACCTAGAAACATGAAATTAAGCATGTAGAGCCCGGAGTAAATGAGAATCTATATAAGGGGACTTTTTGGTACTTTTTCGTCCTTCGACTGGTACTTTTTGAGTTTTCTATAAAATTTAACCTAGAAACATGAAATTAAGCATGCGGAGGCCTTAGTTAATGAGAATCTATAAAAGGGGACTTTTTGGTACTTTTTCGTTCTTCAAAAGGTACTTTTTGAGTTTTCTATAAAATTTAACCTAGAAACATAAAATTAAGCATGTAGAGCCCTTAGTAAATGAGAATCTATAAAAGGGGACTATTTGGTACTTTTTCGTCTTTCGACTGGTACTTTTTGAGTTTTCTATAAAATTTAACCTAGAAACATGAAATTAAGCATGTAGAGCCCTTAGTAAATGAGAATCTATAAAAGGGGACTATTTGGTACTTTTTCGTCCTTCGACTGGTACTTTTTGAGTTTTCTATAAAATTTAACCTAGAAACATGAAATTAAGCATGTAGAGCCCTTAGTAAATGAGAATCTATAAAAGGGGACTTTTTGGTACTTTTTCGTCTTTCGACTGATACTTTTTGAGTTTTCTATAAAATTTAACCTAGAAACATGAAATTAAGCATGTAGAGCCCGGAGTAAATAAGAATCTATAAAAGGGGACTTTTTGGAACTTTTTCGTCTTTCGACTGGTACTTTTTGAGTTTTCTATAAAATTTAACCTAGAAACATGAATTTAAGCATGTAGAGCCCAGAGTAAATGAGAATCTATAATAGGGGACTTTTTGGTACTTTTTCGTCTTTCGGCTGGTACTTTTTGAGTTTTCTATAAAATTTAACCTAGAAACATGAAATTAAGCATGCGGAGGCCTTAGTTAATGAGAATCTATAAAAGGGGACTTTTTGGTACTTTTTCGTTCTTCAAAAGGTACTTTATGAATTTTCTATAATATTGAAAATAGAAACATGAAAGTATGCATGTAGAGCCTGGATTAAGTGAGAAACTATAAAAGGGGACTTTTTGGTACTTTTTTGTTCTTCAAAAGGTACTTTTTGAATTTTCTATAATATTGAACCTAGAAACATGAAATTAAACATGTAGAGCCCGAATTAAGTGAGGACCTATAAAAGGGGACTTTTTGGTACTTTTTCGTTCTTCAAAAAGTACTTTTTGAATTTTCTATAATATTGATCCTAGAATCATGAAATTAGGCATGTAGAGCCTGGAGTAAATGAGAATTTATAACAGGGGACTTTTTGGTACTTTTTCGTTCTTCAAAAGGTACTTTTTGAATTTTCTATAATATTGATCCTAGAAGCATGAAATTATATGCTTAATTTGCCTGGAGTAAATGAGAATCTATAAGAGGGGACTTTTTGGTACTTTTTCGTTCTTCAAAAGGTACTTTTTGAATTTTCTATAATATTGAACCTAGAAACATGAAATTAAGCAAGTACAGCCAAGACTAAGTGATAACCTATAAAAGGGGACTTTTCGGCACTTTTTTCTAAAATATTGAATATATAAACATAAATTTAAATAGGGGACTTTTTGATATTTTACAATAATATTTATTTTATTCCATTACGATGAGGGTAGCGAAGCACACTGGGTATAGCTAGTATATCATAAACTTGAGCACATGTTCCTTTGAAACAAAAATAAACAAAATAGTTCCAATCACATCCAATCATTACGAAATTGAAACTGAAAACTATCTTATTTTATAAAATTTATGTTTGCTAATTTATGTAATGTATGTATGTAGGTCGGAACAATTGTCTGAATTAAAACACGCTTTTTTGTGAAAATAGTTATTATAAATTCAGTTTATTTTTATTATTATATTCATTTGGTTTTTTATAGCTTATTAGAAATTAAATTAAATATTCTTCACACTTAAGGTTTCACACTTCTAAAAAACACAACTTCATTTTCCCCTGGTCACACAACAACTTGTTCTTTGTCGTTTCTATGGTTCTTGTTGATGTTAACTTAGTCTGTTCTGTCTGCTGTTTGAGTGCAATTTTCTATATTCGGCCACGGTCGTTGTTCTCATAGGACCTTCATGGTGGCCGACCTTCTCTACTTCATACCTTCCGTGAGATAACTTGGACATTATCTTGTAGGGGCCAAGGTATTTACCTTTTAACTTAAGCCCGGTGCCAAACTGAGCGCGCTTAATGGCCACTAACTCGTTTACAGCATATTCCGCTTCTGGCTTTCGTTTGCTATTATAAGTTTTACAGTTCTCCTGTTGAATTCGAGCTATATTCTCCTTAGCTTCAATTCTCATCTCGTTCCTTTCATCCTCGAATTCACGAACAAATTCAGCATCTATTATTTCCCGAAGATCAGGGTAATCTGGTAATTTCATTTCAACGCCGGTTAACAACTTGAAAAACCGTTTCGGTAGATTTTATTTAGGATAGGCTTCGATATATTTAAATAAAATTTGATCTAGATTGAATTTTGAAAAACGGAAAACCCGTCTCTCAA